TTCTTGTAGAGGACGACGAGATCTACAATTTCCATATAAAACTTTCTCGCTAGCATCAATAGTTTACGAGTAATTTGCGAAAAACTGTTTTTTCGTTTTTCGTCAATATCTCGTAAACTATTAACGTTAGCAAAAAAGTTTTACATGGAAATTATAGATCTCGTCGTCCTCTACAAGAAAGGTCCTATGCAATTTTCCCGTACGACCAACGGTTTAGGAGTTATTGAGGAAAAACGAAATTTTTTGTCAAAAGTTCGATGATTCGGCGGTGGGAAGGTCGGATTTCGTCAATGCCAATAAAATGCCAATTAACTGCACTTAACTCGTTAAATACCGGAGTCAGAAGAAAAATGCATAGAATCTTTCTTGTAGAGGATGTCAGTGCCTAAAATTTCTGTATAGAAAGCTTTTCGCCAGCGTCAATACTTAATTGAATATTTCCTTCTATACTTTTTAGCACATAGCTATTTATTAATAGCATTGTTCTTCCGATGTCTGATTTCTTTTTAATTATAGGAAATGCGTTTTTCTAAGGTACATAAACATTTGGGATTGATTGTATAGCCAATACATCCTTAAGTGAGAATTCAGATCCTCGTAACGGGTATTAATTGCGAATTGGATTGCTAGTCGCATTAACCCGAGGCGAGGCGAAGCCATTATATGAAGTTCATTAAGCGGCCGCTGCATAATTAAACGGGCGAGACCGGCTACCAAAACACACGCACACGTGTCGACGGATCCCTACGCGCTATCATTAAAATCGGCCACGAAGTAAACGTTTCAGACGGTAAATATTTAAGCCGACCGGTAAGGGCTCGGTAATGAGACTGGAAACGGATCGATACGTGACACACACCGACGCTCGCGAGACGCTCCGCCGATTTTTATGCAAAACGCATTCCTGTAGACATTTTCAAAAACGTCATTTTCTTTCAGCATTTAACACGCATGTAGCTCTCTATATTTTATATCACTATTTATGATTATTATATTTTTTGGATTCATCAAAAGTTATTACAGATATATTTGTATTATGCAGATGACGTTTGATAAAATAAAAACTTGTTTACGAAACTTCTTGGAAGACAATTGAACAAGCATTACTGATACTGAAGAGCCAATTGAAAGTTCTGAACACTCAGAGAATATCGGGATTCTAGCCAGCAATTTTGATTCGAAGCTCGCTTCTATCGCCACGCGAGAAGACAATTGCGAGGGAAGCGCACAGTCGGTACGCAATTTCGCGGGGATATGCGTGATCAAAACCCTTCGCATGAAATTGCAACTTTGTCAAGAGAGTCTCTCCGCTTCCTTCCTGTCCCTATTACTTTTCTTCGACAGAAACTTCGTCCTCCGTCAAATGACTATAGAATATTCCCTACCGTTTGTGTCATCTGTCTCGGAAAATTTATTAATAGCGCGCAAAAAGAATCGATGGGGCAAAGGGAATTAAATCTGAAGTGAAAAAAAAATGTTCCGCGTGTCCTCCGCTGGTGCAGGGAGAGGGACGGACGGATGGCTCGCATGCGGTGACGATGAGGCGTGTCCCATCTCCCACGGGAATTACGTATTTATGCGGCTACAAGGAGGTTTCGCCACAGAAAACTCCGGCAAACAATTTACAAGCCCACCGTGTTCAACTGAACTCGTGCTTATTATCCCAAAGAATTATTATAGAGTGCAGTCTAGAGCACGATTCTATTCTACGAATCACGCTCCTGTCTCAGGACGTATCGGAGAAGTTGTAATCAACCGCAATACTATGACCGTGCAAAAAACTGTGACATTTCAATGAATAATTAAGGGTACCTCTCGAAGAGTACGTATTAAACGTTTCGTTATAATCGCGGAACGTCTAAAACGCGAAGCGTGGTTGCATTTTATCTAGAGCGTACATGGTTTTACTTTTCGACGAGCTAATTAGAATTCGATGCCCGTCTTCGACAATTAAACGTAATTATCCGTCAAGGTTGGCTTTACCGAAGCGCTGCGAAAAGCTGTGTCAGATATGAACGCAATTTCGAAACCGACCGACTCACAAATTCGTCACTGACGTCATGTATATAAAATTCATAGAGAAAACAATCTTAATTACGAATTTCACGAATTCTACTCGATTAATGCACGCCAACTGTTGCGTACTCATTTTTGTTCGTTAATGTACCGCGACTGACGCGATTCACTTGCAGGCTTGGAAAAAAAGAAAAATTGTAAGAAAAGAAAACGTCTACAAGTGTGCAAACGTTGCAGGAGCTTCAGGGTTATTGGTTACGTAATATGCAGCACGCGGCATATATGTATTTTATCTAACAGTTAATTACCCAAGTGACTGGTCGAGTTTGAGAATTTTCGGAATTTTCCAGACGTAGCGTATCAGCTAGAAAATTCCGTTCAACGAAGTAGAGCGACTTCCATGCGGCTATTATGTAGGAATGATTTATACTTAGTGTAATAACAGTACTTAAAAAGAACTCTGATGCATGGATAATCGACTCTCTATTTAAATCTTATCATTTAGCAAAGGCTAAAACGATACCTCGAGCTAGACGATGTTGTTCCATTAATTGCTATACCTGCCTCAACGAAATTCAAGGTATTAAAAATTGTAGCAGGTATTAATAGTGAAAGAAACAATTTTTTCAAGCATGAAAGTTAACGAAAGGTATTTAAAGGAGCACACGGTAGAGCATCCCTCGCTTGCTAATTACGAAGAGGGATCCTCGTGCCGGGCACGTGGCTAACCGGAAACTTACACGGACCGTGACAAACACTGCATTTCCCATCGCTTCCATATCTCCTTCCGGTCGCACTTACCCCAGAAACGCGATTAAATCGTCCCTAAATTGTTCACCCCTCTCGCCAGGCTAAGATTTCTTCTTAGATTAAACTTTCTCTTGTTGTCATTGCACACACTATCAATCTGACTATTTCGATCATGACGTTTATCATTTTTTTTTAAAACAATTTCATACAATCTGCACTTAATATTTTGTGTTTGATTTTACATTTGATAAATAGTATTTGGAATTTCTGATTGGTCTCGAGGATTGTGATACCCAGAGGGTGCATTAACGTGCACGCATCGCGTCGATCAAAAAGGCGCGGTCTGTCACGATCGCGACCACGACACCCGGGTTTTTCGGTGTCGCTCGTTAGAACCGGTGAAACCTATGTGCACGCCACGTATCACCCGACATAAGCGATAAGCGTAATTTCGTTCCGTCGACGACAGTTACGTTGTCCGTGGCTGCTCGTTCAGTAAAGTAGCTGGTCGATGAACAAAACTATTCACGGTTGGCTTCGACCAGATAACGCTTTTATGAGAGACGAGTTTCAGAGAAGTTTATCGCATATCCCGATATTTTAGTCAATGATCGATGGTTATTAGGATGATTAGAATTTACTTTTAACAATGGGTGCTGCTTAGGTCTCATTTGTACTTCTTGTATTATTTTCCAGCTCTAAGGAACGTGTTCGTGTACACGAGTTTTACAAATTGCAGGACGGAGAAGCAGAAACTTGTACGAGGCAGTAAACGGAGAGTATGATTAGCGACTAGAACTTTTGGAAGTGACCAAGACGAAGTTGAAACCGTCGTAATTTCGATTTCGACAAACAAAAAAAGTTGCAACCGCGACTTCGTCCTGACGCGAAGCAATACAAGACGAGAAAGTTCCGAACTCTAGTTGCGATGTCTCTTCTTCGTTTCGTACATTGCCGTACAGAAAACTCTGCAGACATGACTCTGACGAGGGTACGGGATTTTAACACAAAATAAAATATCGACGGTTCATTTAATTTTTAAGAGTGCATTTGCATCGGAACTTGAGAGAAGCAACGTATTAGAAAGGACTCAAAGGAATTTTCTCATTCAATATATTTTTGAGAATTGATTCAAGAGTTTTGTACGATACTGTACGTCGGTTGCGATGATCGTAACGATGGCTGATTGAATAATGTAACAAACGAGCGTATTAGAAACGGCGCGAGTCGGGTGAATAATTGAAAAACGAGCGTCGAACTTTCCTGCTCGCGCCGAACCAAGAGCAAGTTTCCTACAAGTTCTCTGATAGTTTTTCTCTTTTACTCGCGTCTGCCCTTCATCGATTAGGGAAAAATGCAGCCACGTATTTCATCATAGATTCGTTAACGTTGAAGTTCAATAGCATTGTATCAATGTACTGGTAATAATACTAAATAATAAATCCCTTGATGACTGATAGTATATACTTAATATTCCTTATAGAAATTTTATGATAATGAAAACTTCACTCACCAGTGTGTATGTAAGTGTGCTTCTTCATGTCCGATTTTTGGTGAAACCTCTTGCCGCAGTATTGGCAAGGATAAGGTCTGGTGTCGGAGTGTATCAGAAGGTGGGTGCTCAGAGTGCTCGAGCGCTTGAAAGCCTTTCCACATTGCTTGCACTGTAACAGTACGAAAAAACACCCTTCGATAATGCATACAATTTAAATCATCATTATTTTAAAAACTGTTTTACACGTATCGTGTAATAAAACTATAAAATATTAAATGTCGTGTAAAACAAAGGGAGATTCATTTTTAATTCACGGATACGTACTGTATGTGCTTTTCATCATAATTGGAAACTGTCGCACGATCGCGGCGGAAAGGTTAAAGGGTTAATTGAGGTTCGATCGAGGGCATAAAATAATAGTGCTGGCAGAAGAGGTGTCGAAGGAAGAAGACGAACGGTCGTCGCGACGGGCGCACCTGTGTTCACGATAGCCTCGGTCTTTCTCCTTATTGTCGCGCGGGCGCCAGTCCCGACAATGCAGCCCCGACCTAGGCGTGTCTCTTTTCACCGATGCACGCGTGCTACCCGCCGCATATACGCGGGTGTACATGCGTGGAATCGCGTACGAACCGCGGTTTAGAACCTCATAGCTAGACGAACGACTACGCATGATTCACATCCCCCGATCAATAATGACCATATAATATTATTACCGTGATATTAGTAATCTATCGCGAGGTCTCTGTCACGAATCTTCTTCGATGTTCAAACTAAAACTAGGGTTTCGTACCAACCAGCAATTTTGCAAATCGACGATCGAAATATTATTTTAAATTATCAGTTAATTGGAGATTTTAGTTACGCACATGATTTACAGAGACCAACAGAAAAATACAGACATAGAATATGTTTCAACAATTAAAACATTTAAAAAATTGATACGGTACTACATAAAATCTGTAGTGATAAATTATTAAAAAAAGATGAAACGACTTGGCCGTTTCGATCATTGAAAGATACGAAAATGAGATCGAACAAGGCCACGGAGACGTTTTTTCGCAACGATCGATGCTTCTTCGGGGAAACCTCGAAACCGGCGATTTTATAAGCTCGTTAGAAGCCATTACACGTCCCGCGAGTCTCCCAATGGGACGGTTGAACGAGTTTCGGTCAACTTGTTGTTCGGTACGTCCAAATGCAGCAGTGCAAGCCGCAAGCTGCATTCTGGACGCGACACTCACCAATTTATTGACGTCCAAAGAGACTTGTGCTCAGTGGATTAATAATAATTGACAACAATTTTGAAGCTCGTTTCTATCAAATCTATTGAAGCATCTAAAGTAGCTCTTTTTTTTTTTGTAAAGATAAAAAGACATGCAACGCGTCCATTAATCATTTGGAAGGAGAAGATGGATTAAGGATAATAAAAGCACGTGTGCAGTTCTTTAAATATTGAATATTATTCATCGTTTCCGATATTTGAATTTCTATAAGTGTAATAAGAAATCTAATTTGTTAAGCAACTCCGTTACTAGAATGAACAGCTTCAGCCGACTTCTATTCTCGACCTGTTTCTCCATTCAGTCAATTCGTTCGGACGTGCATAATATTTTTAGAGTCGTGCCTATATTACATCCGCTATAAATATCCATTGCCTTTGTAGTTTATTACAGAGCTTTATGGTTCGATTCGTTGACGAAATGCAACGTTAAAGCTCTGTACCCTTGTGATTATTTCTCAAATGAATGCAGAGCTCGATGCATAAAATCTCGATAGATCTGTCCACGTCAGAATACGAACATAAGTGGAACAATTAAAGATACTAAAAACTCAGGATAAATCAGGCACCGAACGCAATGGGGCATTAAATACAATCAAAGTACTTGCTTTTTGTTCAAGGAATGTAAAGAAGGAAAGAAGTTTGCGAGTCGATTTCGTTACTTACAGTTTTGGCGCGAGGGGTAATTCGCGCATTGACTGAGCTGTAACGGAGTGTGGTTTCCGTGTTGCGAAACGGCAGTTTCCGTGAATAATGAAACGCGGTTTGGGAAAAATTTTGACACTCGGCCCGGTTTCGCGGAACGGTGGTAGGGGGGCTGCTTTTTTTTCGGTCAGAATCAGGATCGTATGACGCGCGTGTGCCCCAGATATCCTAATATGTCCGGTGGCTGTTGCTGTTACGTGTCCCCGCGTAAAACTGCCGGAGCCGAGTTTCTACTTCCATTCAATCAGCCGTAATTGCACCCGCCGCCTTTTGTCGTGTGTGTTCCGACGTTCGTCAAACGCCGTGTGACCCGCTTCTTCTCTCCCGACCGTCACGATACACTTTGGGGCACTTATTGGCGAACCATCGCGTGACTTACGCGCGCGGCTTCTCCATTTCTCTCGCGCGGCCATGTAAATGCGTTTCAATTGCTTCACCGATTTTCAGCAATTAAATAAAAATAAAATCCGCGTCGTATAGGTACGAATTAATTCGCAAAAATCGCTGAAGCCGAGGGGGTGAATCGCAACTGAGCGAGTGTTGTATTTCCCATCAAAAGTTACGTCTATGTTGTACTGAGATTTTGAAATTTTATAATACATTAAAACGAAACAGAGATAAATTGAAGAAAGATATTGTTTGCTTCATAAAGAATTCCGCGTAATTCGAGTACGACTTTGGTGGATCGCGATTTCTTTTACGAGTCTGAGGGCGACGAACTAGTGAAATGCAGGAACGAGCCGAGTATGTGCCTATTTACGATACTCGTAAAGAGACTTTACACGGGAATTCTCGATATTTGTTTTTCGCGATCAATCGCTATTACACGAAGGCGAAAAGATTTCCTAGACTGATATTCTTACAGTTCTCTGAATACTGACCATTATCTCCCGTTACTTTAATTTTATATTAAAAGCTCCTCTGTGATATCATTTACAACTCCCTCAATTCGCAATGAGAAACTTTTAATAAATCAACGGGATATACTTTTGCAATAAAATAAGCATGAAACCCGAATATGTGTAGCATTGCTCTTATGGTTTAAGGGATGAAGATAATTGTGGCGTGAGAAACTTACTTGGAAAGTTCTTTCCGAAGAGGAAGGCGGTGTCAGCGGTGAATGATGGATTTGCCGAGTGATTACAGGCGTCGAGGACGGACTCCTGGACAATGGTATCCTGGTTTCCTTCGCCTCTCTCTCGCACAACGTTCCCGGTGACCAGATTTCACTTTTTCGGCCGACGGTGGACGATACGTCGTTGGGTTTGGTGCTCAGATTTAGCGGCGCCTCTTCCTCTGCAAATTCACGACAAAACATCCCCTTTGCAAAATAGGAAACTGCTTCTCACGTGCAATTCTAAATTCTACTTAAAAATTCAATTGCACGTTACAATTTGTGCAGTCAATCAGTAAAGTAGCGATGAACGTTTATTGAATAAAATTTGCATAAAAATGTTAAGCGATATCTATCTGAACTATCTTTTAAATCTACAGTAAAGGAGTAATATAAACGGGATATAAAATGGAACAAGCAGAATTGTAAGGATCGTGAGATGTTCGTTAAAAGAATTCGCGTAATCAAACGAAGGTATAAACTCGTTATCGTTATCGTCCGTCGAAACTACGCAGATGATTCTGGTCGCGTAATCGTTGGCAATTAACGAAATCAAGACGCGGCGCGGTAACAGCGCGGTTTCATACACGTACGAAAGGGATTCGTAATTGGTTTAATGGACGAGCCTGTTGACCGATAACGATACGTTGTAAACGTCGATGATAACCGACCATTCGCCGCGGAACACGATCGATATTGCCTACTTACGGATCGGATCGCCGCGTTGGCCCCTTTTTCAGCCCAGTTCTACATTCTTTATCTATATCGTTGATCATTCAGAAATTTCTGAAGAGATCATTTTATAGACTCGATAATTCGATCGATCGGTTCGACCGATCATCAAGACACCGGATACAATTACTCGGTAATTAAAAAACTATTTACTAATTGTTCGATCAATGAGATACTAATTAAGATTCTTACCGAAATTCGCCTTTTCAGGGGTGCACCTCCGGGGTGAGCTGGCTCTGGATACGTTCAAGGGTTTCGGGTGAACAGGCGAGCAACTGGCGACCGGTGTGGTGGTCTGCTGACTGGCAATCCTCGACGATGGTAGCAAGGTATGGGGCAGCAACAGACTGACGTGCCGAGCCCACCATGCGGTACCACTGGAACCGTAACCGCCGTACATCAGGCCGCAGCGCATCTCTGAAACCAGAAGAAAATCCATCGATGTAATCGAAATGACCAAATAAAAATGTTTAACGACTGTCGTGTTATTTTTATTACGACAGACTATATAACTGAACATTGACAACACGTTTATTTCGCTGAAACCTTGTCTGACCCAGTTACCATCTTTACGTTCGATAAAAGGCGAGGATGTGGTTAAATGATTTTGTACTCTTAAACCCCAGCTATTTCTCTGAGAAAGTGACTATTGCATTACCTCGAGCTGCGGCGGCGGTAGTGGTCGACGGTAGATTCTGAAGTCTCGCGTCGGGATTGCACGCCGAGACGAGGGTGAAAGCGCTGAAACGGTCCGAGGTCGATTGTCCGAGGCTCGCCGAGGATGTCGCGGTGCTCAGGCTGCTTCCTGCCGCTCCTGGACTCCACGGCGTAACGCTCGGGCTGCTCGGCGGTGAAAGCGTGGCCGGGGGTGACAGCGGCCCGGCCGGAACTACAATGCCGCTGCAGTGGAGTTCCGGTTTCATGTACCAAGTACGCGGCACCGCTTCTGATCAACGAAATAAACGATCTGCGTTTAACTACCCGTTTGTACTCGAGGAAAATTCGAACGTCGAGCAATTTATGCAATAAAATAATAAAAACTCTAATGTCTTTACTGGAAACCCATAAAAAAATCTGATTAATCTCGTGTTTGTCGGAACAGACTCTAGGCAGAGAGCAAAGACTCGTATTAGGAGGTGGATTTCGATGGATTTTGTAGATTGTGGCTATGACTATCAGATTTATAAAGAAAATCACAAACAACCCTTGAACGGGGGGGCGAAGCTATGAATTATACATGGTGAAACATGCGTGCGCACGTCCATCCGGGAGACAGTGCTATTCTAATCTGATCGTAAGCTGAAACGGGCGTGATTGCTCGGCGAACTTTATTCGCCAGCAACCCCGATAAAACCTGGCCGTCATTAGCCGAGAATACTATCTGCCCGTCATAGCTTTCAAAGCCTAAAAATCGAAAACACGTACATACGTCCTGCTATCACTGTATCTGTTATAAATTATAAATCGTACAGAATGTACATGATTCAGGATTATTTATTATCCAGCCTGTGTCTAGTATCCTTTTAATTTTTTATGATTCCATAAATGAACAATGAGCAGATTTCAAAGGCGTATTAAGAGAATGCAGCTGGTATACCAACAACCGAAATATTTTTCAAGTCGACATCAATCCGCTTGCCAATGCGAACCAACGTAGAGTCAAAACTTGCGAGTAGATAACGTTCATAACTTAAATGTCCGACTGTGTGCGCATAAATAATTTCGCTGCACGTTGAATAAATCTGTAATGCGATTTGCAAACACGGCTACGTAGCTGCTTAGCATAGATAGCGAGCCGACGTCCGAGTTTGATGTCAATCACCGACCGGTCGGTATCAACTTTAACGTTATTTATATGTATATCGGAAAAATAAAGAAAAAAAGTTATAGTCACCGTGCAGTGACCTTGCAAAAACATTATTAATGACGGGCAGCTAATAGAAACGGGAAATTCTATTATGTTCACGAACGTAGAAAATTGTTACAATTTTTAATTTCGCAGAAATTTTTATCAGCTGGTAGGTTCGTTCGATGAAAACACTAATTGGAAACGAGATAATCGACAGACGAATCGGAAGACTTCGTGGAAATCTAAGCTGATTGGAGATCCAACGGGCTACCGAATACCAAGTGGATTAAAATATGTACACAGCGATGTATAAACAAGTGTCGCGCGGAGCCAAACCGTTTTCATCTCCTCATCTTAATGAACTTCTGGGAACCGACAACAAACGATTCTTTAATCAACGAAAACAGCTGTACTAAAATCTGGCAGATTGTAGCTGCCAAATACTCGATTGTATAAATTGACGGATACCTAATAAATCGGTGAGTGCATATAAAAATTCTATTTTTAATTCAACGAATATTTAACTTTCACGGAATTATCAGAGATAAAAAGCTAAATTTACTTGCTCCAATGGTTCGTACATAAAACGGGAGATACCGAAATCGGCACAATTATTTCAAGCGCCATTAGAAATACGTATGCGATTTGGTGCAAATATTTACGTCGTCTATTGATGCACAATAATCCTGTTTTTTCGAATATATATACATATCGTTTCCATATTTCGTGCCACGCAATAGACGTACGAGGCCGCGACACCGTCCATGCTTTTACACAAACGTTAATCTTCGCTGCGTGTTGTTACAAAACAGATAGTAAAATTTATATTTAACTCCTGCAGACTATAATTATAATTTACATGAACATGAAACAAATATTGTTTCACATTTTTAAGCTAGATTTCTTTATCTCGAAAATAATAACTATGATAATCATCTATCAGCTTTCGACTCGGAGACATAATCCTGCTTAATACGTAAGTCACTCACAAAGCAAGAAGAATACCAGACCCAAATTTGAATATGGTTCATCAAAAGATTAAATAGATGAATAAAGAAATATATTTGAAGTCTACATTTAAGGTAGACCAGCTATTATGATATGCACAGAAACAAGACGATATACAGATTCGTGGAAAACCGAGGCTGACAATCAGATGCAAGTATATAATTTCCCCGACCATCGCGTTATCCGAAACTCGTCTCAGCTAGCTATCAAGAACGCTCGTTGTTAAATAATGACTGTCAACCCGTCATTCTACCGGACGAAGACGTCGTTAAATGACCGAAAGAAGCTCACCGCACATTGCGTCCAGTTCTTCGATGAGATCAGCTCCTCAAGTCCTGTTCATGGAGGCGAAATCGTGGTATCGGCATAAACTAGGTTCTCCAGATATACTGTCTACCAATTAACTCCACAGAATGATCGACGCACCACGTACAAGTCTCTGGACCCACGTGGTCCCAGATCGAGGAACACTCAATTCTAATCACGATATCTTCACTTCCCCCTCGGATCACTGAGAACTCCGACGTGCGATCGTTCGAACTCGGTAAGGTGACGTGAAGAAAAGCAGAGAACAGCTGGTGGATCCTCGAGGATGCTCTGGGAGCGTGCGGAGTAACGGCAGGACCCTGACTGACCCCGGTGCGACCGAGGAGGGTACGAGGACACGCGAGGCACAGGGTACTCGCGTGGAGCGCGCGTCGCAGTCTGCCGTCTACCCGTGGCACGGGTTACCTGTGCTCTGTGGCAAGCTCGGCCTCGGGTTCACTCGGGTTTCTCTTCTTCTCACCTGCGCGTCTCCGGCTACCTGGAGGCCACGCCTACCGCCGTTCACACGCGACTAACTTTAGCCCGCGGGAACCACCGCGGCTGGTGGGGCCTGAATCCCCTCTCGAGAACGATCTTCCGCTTCCGTTTTACTATCGTCCTAGCGTCTCTTACGGATTTCTATGTATGCTGATATTTTATGCATTTATATTTGATCAAATCAGCAGTCTGATCGGTATTTATACAAAAAAAAATCCTAACAATCCTTGAAAACAAGCAATGATTCTATAGTTTCGATAACAATCAGCAAAATGTCTAAGGAGAACATTTGTGAAGTTCCCTGATCTGCAATTTCAACATTGATATCAACTATTTTGCACAAGAATCTGTTAAAAATGCAAATTGCAATTGCAACTACGACGCCTAAGACATGAAGGGCTTTCCTTAAGGAATAAAAAGCTGCAATAGACGAAGAACTTGCGGGTGGAGTAAGAGGTGAGATTATCAGATTCCGTAGAAATGGAGTTCGGCCATGTATCCGGATCTCGCAATCATTCAGTATGCGTTACATCCGTTGGTAGGAGAGACCAATAGCCAGCTGGAACGGCAGAGTGTGAGAAGTGCGCGCGCACACTAGCACTCTGAGGTAGATTTGATTCGCCAGGTAGAAAGAGTGCTGGGGATCGCGACTGCGCCGATCTGGGCACGTTCTATTGGGCCGCCTTCCTAGAACCACCATCGGTTCACCTTTGATCGTCACCGGGGATCAGTTCTATTAGCTGAATTCCGATGAAATAAGTACCCATCGAACCTGACCTTCGCGTCCTCCACCTATCTGCGGACAAATCCATCTCTGTCATAAAAATGCTTCTTACGCAATCAGCGAGACTCACGCGCGAAGCAAGCGCGACTTCTAACACTCAGACGTATCTAATTCCTAAGGTATTGCCTTAATTATCAAAGTAGAAGTGAGACTAACAGGTGGGAATTAAGTTCCTCCTCTGACAAATGAGACACTGCGAGTGTATATTAAAACGAATGAAATTTGTCACTTTACATTCACCAAAAGAACTGAGTTAATGAACTGCTTGAAGCTGTCCCGAACCTGACAATAAACTTTGTACGAAGTACTGTTTAACGCGTTGACCAAACGTGATACAAGTTGCTACATCTGTAGCCTCTTCCGTCGAAAAAGATCGTTTCACGCGGCGATGATGCGTTAAGATAAGAAGTAAATTAGCTTGGGAAATTGGCCGAAATTAAAACTCGAGTTTCGTTACACGTCGAGAATTTGTATTAACGTTTTTAATGAAATATTGCATATTAAAGGTTGTCATTTGTTAATATATCACCGCTGATGTCTGCTCTCACTGCTCTTATGACTAAGCCCCAAAAATGGGAAGAATTGAAAAAACTTACACGGTTAAAGTACTTTAATTTCGTGCATATTACGCCGGCTACCAATCCTGTTAATTTCTACCTTGCCCGTACCGGGACCGACCCTCGTTTTCAGATAATTAAACTACTTTCTCGCTTGTCAAAAATATTTCTTATTACGGCTCCGATATGTATAAATAAGGAAGAAACAAAGTGACAATGTTGAAAAAGAATAACACCTGTTGCTAACTTGTTTTGTTTCACCTTGCGTTTCGTTCGTTATCGAAAATCGTCAGATAAAACATTAAAACCAATGACGAGTATCTAATTTCTTCATACGTTTGGACATGGTTGCAATAGAATTTCATTTGGGTAATACTGAGTGCATACGGATCCTTGAAGTTAAAAGGGAAACTGTAGAGCCATTGTAGGGTTAATGAGGAGGGAACATTGTGAGGAAGCGGGTTACGTGTAAAGTGTATTATCGGAAATGAAGTGGGTTCGGTGGCGCGGAGTGCGTGGCGAGGAATGTATTGAAAGCAGGTCCCGATGTCCTTAACCCAGTCGTGGTCCCGCGATAACGAGCTACCTGGCAACTTCGGATAAGTGAAACTTGCATAATTGGCCGGTGAACGAGGGACGAGGAGGAAAGAACTCGACCAGCAGGTAACTGCACCTGCGATGTCTCCAAGGTGCGCGGCTGCGCCTGCTCGGAGAGCCTACAGCCGCGGAGATCACTGTATCCGGAGTGGCCGGTCTCGTTTTCAGATGCTGTCCAACGGAAGTGAACTTGATCGTGCAGAAACCCACCTTTGAGGATCGACACTGATCGTGAGTAAGGATACGCGAGACAGCTAGTGGGCAATATAATTTTTGATTGCATCCTTAAAGAAATATTATATTGTTGCCGCATGTTTGATGAAGTACATCTCTACGATTTTACGGCGTTGGCATATCGCGTGTTTCGTACACAAAAAAAACTTATGAATGGGTATCCTACGATCGCGACCGCAAACCTTCCTGCCATTTGGAGAGGATGCGTGAAATCGAGGAAAGAATTGAAAAAGAACATGTCATGAACATGTATGTACGACGTGTATCATTATCTCCTCGGGCACTTGTAAATATTGCCACATGGCATTTCACGTCTCATGCAATTCTAGTTCTAATCGAACCGTGAGATAAAAATGCACATGCCTCTGTTCTAAGCGATTATTCACTGATCACTGTTTAGAACCGTGATTTGTTCGGGGCGAACGGTCTTTAATCCGGCGTCGACGTCCCGTGAATCGTTACGAAACGGTGCTTAAAATGCAGGTGCAACGGAGAATACCTAATAGCGAGTGCAGCTTGAGGGGTGAGGACCGGCAGTAAAAGGAATAATTAACGAGTACCAGCAATTATCATGGAACAGCTTGCGGCCGCGACGCGAACCGCGATCGAGAACCTTTAACACCGTGTACTTACATATGCAGTAGTTCATTAAATTGATTTCGTTCAGCAGAAGGTTTTACAGCTTAGATTCCTGAGAAATGTTAATCGATTGTAAATAGAAATGTGGCAACCATTTCCCATTAACCGATTTACCTTTAAATTTCTGACAATTTATTTAACGACTTTGGTTATTAACAGCGTTCCGGGTATTTGACTCGAACGTTTATCGAACGTTTATCGAACGTTAATAACGTCAATTGAACGCATTAATCGATGAACGTCGATGTTAACGGGATACCAGCCGTAACACGCACGAGTACAGAGTGACTCTGGCTCATTAAAACGGAGCATAAAAATCGTCCGTTTGATCTTTTGCTGATTTCGGGTGTTAAATCCAAGCAACGCTTCTGTTCAGCTGCGGTGGAAAAAAAAAGTACATAGGTGTTCGAGGGGCAATTAATGAGCGTAATTATCGGCGAACGTACAGATCGAGGCTGACGTCGCGTCGCCGTCGCTCGGCTCGCGTGCTGTTCCCCGCTCACCCTTCCCCGTTAGCCCGCGGCTATTCGAGCCTCGCTACCACTTGTTAAAGTGACTGTAACATGATCTGATTCAAAACTAATTGTATCCGTCCATGACAATTTCTTTCTCTTTCGTTTCGAGTTCATCGCACAAGCAATATAAAACGTGCCACTTTGAGATGCTCAGGGCACCCGACGAATACTTCTGTTTAATTCGCAATACGGATTACGCGAAATTGGACGGAGTCACACGTGTCGCCCGGATTACACGGTGAACCTATGAAGAATCCGGGGTGACAGTGGAATGCAGACAGGGTGGAGGCACGTGCTGCCAAGGATGCAGCCGAGGATGCACCGAGCGGAACGTGCACCCGACGCTCGCATCTTGTGTTCGCTAAGCGGATCCCTCCGCATTGGCGTATCACCTGCCCTTCCCGTTTCGTTCCTCGCGATTACCGGATTTTGATTCGAGCGCCAGATGTCTCGCGTTCCTCCGTCTCTATCAAATCCGAAATCATTCACTCCGGCCGATCCGTTATTGCCGTTAGGAGCTTGCCTAATCTAAGCGACCGTATAGATCTTATCTATGCGCACGAGAGTCTCGGCTTTTATCACCTCATCTTCCGGTGGTTTCACAGTGTCTTTTACTGTTCGATCTTACGTATGTAAATCCAGTAAATCTTGATTTTTTTTTTATAACAGATGAATGCAGACGTTGAGCAGCTAATAAAATGCAGACTTGCGTTCCATCGACGCGTAATCGAAAAAGAATCATGAAACGGAAATCGTTTGAGTAATCTCCTTTCTCTTTGATCGATCGGCTTTCTCAGGCGAGATCGATAAGAAGAGGCACCAGCTGAACAATGTCAACGTCCTTGCGGCCGGAGAACCAAAATGTCGCTACGCCAATGACGTACAGCACGTGACTACGGGGGCACGCGCCGGCACGCGCCGCATTTCTCACAGAAAGCACGCGCCTTGTACTCCTCCCCACCTCACGCTCTCTCTCTTCCTTCCTCTTCCTGTCGTTCCCCACTTCCGATTCTCTCCCCCTCTCGGTTCATCGCCTCCGCGTTTCTCTCCCCGTTGAAATCACCAATTTCTCTTCCCACTCACCTCCGTATCGTTTTCACCCGCGATCCTTATCTCGCCAATGATTTTTCAATCGATCCTCCGCTCCTCTTTCTCCAGATGATAAATGCGCGCCACGGTGAAACTGTGTGGAGCCAGGTAGAAGACGAAGGCAGGAGGCAGGCCTCGCTTTGATCTTCTCGACTCTTGACCGGTTTTTGTTCCAGAGGAAAGGTAATGGGACTTGCTACGTTGTTAACGATATGAATGGTAATTGCGAGGATGGATTTACTTCTTTCAAGAGTTTTTTTCTTAAAAAACTGCATCATTTCGTTTACAGTATTCTGGTCCAATTGAATAAATGAACTTGTTCTACAAATGATGTCTATTCATTTTAATACAGCTTGTCACATGATTCTTCTCACGACATTTAATAATCATTTTTTTAATAGTTTCTTCGTTATAAAATTGGTATCAGAATTTCTTATAGCACGATGCAATCTTCCTCAAGTTACTTCGCATGCTACGAGAACCGTGTTATAACACGGTCTCATCGATCAGCCGAGCAATCGAACGTAACCAATTTACCACATCAA